GCAATCTCGAATGGTCTGGCAGAAGAGGCAGGACTGGGCATATTCCACGAGGCCTTCCTGATGCTCCGACCGAGTTGCGAAAAAGCAGTCGAACCAACATTATAAAACTGAAGGAGACTGAAACCAAAGGAGAGGCCATTCCATCTCGGTCTTCATGTCTGCGACACAATCTTGTTGTTGAGGGGACTTTCCTTTTGTATGAAACTGCACTCACTCCTTCAAGCATGTTCACACCAAACGAAAGTCTCCTCAACAATGGTGCATTGAGAGAGTCATCGAAACACACTTACTCTTCACACCCATAATTGTATGCAGCCGATGGGGAATACTTTTCATTTCTAATGAAAGTAGACGATAAAAAGACCGCCCATTTATGGAGCATTTTGTTGCCGAGCACCCCAAGCGTCAAGATGTGTGATTGTCGCAACTCAGTGGGTGGAGCAGAGGCGAATGAAGACGCCGAAGGAGGCTGGCCTCGGACTAGCGACTGTTGGATTGTGCCGAGAAGACGTCGGCTTGCGGTACCGCGACTTTGCTGAATCCGCGCAGAGCATTTGTATGTGCGGCTGTGACAGGCATGGTCACAAAAAGTCACCCAAACCACTCAACCAGGAAAGATGGCCGACTCAATTTCTGTTTACTTCTTGCGTCTTGCTCTTCCACCAGAACGAGGCATATCAAGATTTCTCGTTTCCAAGTGGACTTTCAAGACTACCAGTAATGTAGTCGGTTGCTATGGCAAATACAGCTTTGCTTCATCGACATAGCAACCATAGAATGTGATATTGGAACATGTCTGGCCTTGCTTGAAACGCACATCTGCAAAGTGGCAAAGTGGCGTACCGGTTGGCGTATCGCGATTGCACTGTCATGGTTCGAGTCCCGCCGGGGCTGTCGACTAAACCTACGAGCTGCGAGGCGGAAACCGCGGTCCAGTGGAGCCGGGGGGAGAACAGGATATGGCAAAGCAGGGCCATGTGAAATGCCATAGAAAGACAAGGTGGACTCGTGTGATTGTGGGACAATTCAAGCGCCATCCCTCCACACCTTCAACGGAATAGGGTGAAAGCAGTTCGTGCTGCTGTCGGTCACTTCACGCCTGCCCCACATGCGCGCAAAGGCAGCTGATGAGTCCATACGCTTCACAGTTGGCCAGAGTCGGCATAAACTGTCATTTGAGCGGCCTCCAAACTACATTTTGCTGTTGTCCACGCAAACTTAGCCTGTCGCTAACGCGCCTATTCTCGTTTGATGCGCCTGCAGCGCCAACAATTGCGGCGACAATCTGCAAGTGTGGGTACAATCTCGCCATTTTCACACTTTTCAACAAGGCACGTTGATCATTTCGTTAAATGTCTTTGCTGTAGCGTCAAAACACGAGCATATTCCGGTTTGTGGTGCCGTACAGAGTTGGGCAGTAACCGTGGATCAGCCACAGAGATTGTGACGAGAAGGAAGACACGCAACGAGTTAGTTTGGAGACTGACAAACTTGGTGATGAATGGTACCTTTTCCAGCCTTAACGTTGAATTGAATGGATCAACGCGAGGTTGGCCGTGGGATCGCGTTCCGCTCCAACGTGAGCGAATGGCTGCGTGGCTCAGTTGCAGGTTCGGTCTCGGGTTACGAAGGAGAAAAGGATAGAAAAGGGTCGTCTGCAACCCTTTCCAGAAGTCCTAGTTCGTAAAGGAGTGAACCAATTGGCTGAGGATGTGCATGGCAACTGAACGAATGCTGATTTCCTTCTTCATCTCTCGCCTAAATCTATTGTGAGGCTAAAATTGCGCTTAAAAACCGGTGATGGTATGAAATGTGTGTGTAGCCAGGATGAGGAAGTGGGAAATTTAAGAAAACTTTGATATTGCCCACTATTAATAAAGAAGTGGGTTGATCTCGTTGTCGCAAACTTGGTCTTGTTGTCATGGCGACTATGTATAACACACCTTGTCCGAAGTT